ATCCACCCTGATTGAATTGGCCCTGTCAACACTGGTTCTCCACTTGCGAAGTAACTCCCTGCTCTCCATGTGTCAGTATATAATGCCTGCATCTGTAACTTTCATTCTATGCATCCGAAGAAGTGAGGTTTTTACCCACGAAAGCTTATGCCCAAATAAATCTGTTAGTCTTTAAGGTGCCACCAGACTCCTTGTTGTTTTTGTAGATACAGACTAACATGGCTACCCCCTGATACTTGAAACTATAGACTGTGCTTTTGTATCTTTCCTTCAGAACCCTGTATGTAGAAATTCTAATGTAGTGCCTGCTAATGTTACATCCAGCCTATTCTTTCTCTCAAGGCTTCCATTATTGTTCTAAGCAAAAATGTATCTTTCACTGATTTTAGCCTCAGCTATGTCTAGAACAAAATCCTCTTGAGTGTTAGGTATCTCTTTTTATTAGCTAGCCCTACACCTGAGTAGGCTATTTCTTTTACAGTCCCTCCTGCCCCCAATTGTCAGTATTTATTGCATCATAAATGTCCAGTAGCCAAGCCATAAATCATTAGGTAAATTGCCATTCTAGCAGCCCTGAAGGTCTCAGTCAAACCAACAATAGCCAAGATATGTAGAGTAAAATCAGACACTCTGGACCTAAAGCTGATTTAAGTTTCACCAATGCAGTGAGTAAGAGACACCTTCTTGTTTTCTACAACTTTTAAAAGGTACCCAGATGGTACTATACTGTATAAGAAACTGGATAGAAAACTTCCATTTTTAATTCACCCTCCCCTTTGTGCTTACATAGTAGCCACAAAACTGAATATTTTAAGATAAAACCACTGTTCTGGAGACACCTGCAATGTTTGGGGATATATTTTAAATATTAAAACTAAGAAAACCTCTTATGAAATTGTATGACAGTTGACAATGAACACGCAATTTGGAACTCAACGTCAACTTAATCAGAACATGTAAAAATGTTTATACAGTCTAAAGATGCAATGAATTTTTTAGGGTCTATGGAGTCATCACAGCACACTCTGTAATTACATACCTGGTCAGTATCTGATTGATAGGGCACAACATAGGTAGAAAAGTCAAATTAGGTAAAATGCAGTGTTGTTGTAGCATCTCAAGCATTCACCGAAAAAAAATAGGGAGTGCTCAACACCCGCAAGACTGGATTAATCTTTTGTGTGCCCCGGCGCCAGGACCATGGCCCTGCCCCCTGCTCCGCCCCAAGGCCCCGCCCCCACTCGCATGGGGGAGAGGCGCACCCACTGGCAAAAACAAAAGTCAGCGGCTGTAGTGAGACACAAAAGCTTTTGGGCGTCCATAAAGCTCTTCTTCAGGTCATATTTATGTGTTCTGATTAAATGGACATTGAGTTCCAAATGGTGCGTTGTCAACTGTCACACGCTTTCATAAGAGGCTTTCTTCATTGTTTTGAATGTCACCTGAAAGGAAGCAAACTAATCTTATCAGAGATTTATCTACAGACAATAAGAATACTCCAAGTTAAATCCACAAAGTGAGGGTACTCAGATTCAAGATAAATTATATCCCTGGCTCCCGAAGAAGAGCTTTATGGAAGCTCAAAAGCTTGTCTCTCTCACCAACAGAAGTTGGTCCAATAAAAGATATTATCTCACCCACTTGTCTCTAAGTTAGGTAAAAGACAGTTTGACCATTTAATAGAGCTGGTATTAGTGATTCCACAGTTAAAGTTGTTTTGAGATTTGCACTTGAATTATTACACTCCATCTCTCTCAGTTAAATTTAACAGTTTAATGCATTGTCTTCAGATAACAACTGAATTTTCCATAATATTTTTAGCTCTAATATTGATAATTTTTTTTCCAGAGGAAATATTTTAAATAAGTTCTTTTTGAAGTAGTCTTGAGAGTCTCAGCATTTCTGAACCCTGTGGCTAACGAACTATAGGCACCAAAACTTCCAAATTTACACATATGTAACCTCACAATATCTCTGGCATAGGCTAGCAATTATAAGAATATGCTCCTAGCAAGTATGTTTACAAAAAATAAAATAGGGCAAGCTACTCAGCTGGTATAAATCAGTGTCAATTTATTGACTTCAGCTGAGCTATTCCAATTTACACCAAATGAAGATCTGGCCCAAATAAGAGAGAAGTTGTGCAAACAACTGGGTTTATATAACTTGTGTTCTGCTTCTCCATCATCACAACCTCAAGGGGATAACAAAAGGCAATCAGGAGCGTTGTGAGGATCAGAAACACTGTTCTACATTGTTTATAAAAGTGACCTTATAGTCTGTATAATTAATCAGTTCTGAAGCTTGTCAACCTCTCCAATTTTTATAACAAAGCTGTTTTTGCATTGGAAAAGAGACACCTGCTGGCCAGTTTAAGAACTGTGATAATAAATTGGAAAAGAAAGTCTCCAAATTAAAGGCTTGTCTATTGCTGTTTGAAACCACTGTTCTACATCAAAGCATGCTATGGAACGTTTAGTGTACGGTAGCACATCCCCGCGGTCAGTCAGCGTGCAGCAGACTAGTGCACTGTATAATCATACCCTGGCTTGCTGCGCTCTAAGTCTTAGTGTAGACAAGTCCTAACTATTGCATAAGTCTACTCAACCACTCCAGTGACACACTGACGTGTCCAAATTGTCATCCCTAATAATAGAAAGAATGGAGTCAAGGCTTACTGAGGACTGACATAAGTGCCTAATCTCATGGGACAGTGAGTTTTGTTTTGTTTTTAAACAGTTCAAAACATTTTTTCAACTATCCTTTTTTTCTGCCAGGGAAATAAAATTTACTAACCTTGAAGTTGTAGGTTGGGTTTTGCTTATTTTCCTTTCCTTCTTTTTGTGGCTATCCCATTTTATCTCTTCCACCTAGGGTGACCAGGTGTCCCGTTTTTAAAGGGGTAGTCCTGTTTTTTGGGACCTTTTCTTATATAGGTGCCTATTACCCCCCACCCCATCCCATTTTTTCCACACTTGCTATCTGGTCACCCTACTTCCACCTGTCTATTATTTCCTCTGTCCATTTTTATTTCTCTTCTTCTACCTTGGTGTCTTCCTCCACCCTCTTCCTTTCCCAAGGCCCCTATCACACTTTGTCTCCTCCTGGCCCCCCAGGAGTAAGTATCACAGAGCCTGTCAATCTGCTTCAGATGCTGGTATTTTTATGCCAAGTCAGCATCCCAGCATAATTTAAGCCTTGAGTCATTGTACAATCTAAAACTGCAGATTTACAGCATTTTAAAGGCTCCTAATCTCTTAGTCAAAGTCTCACAACAGGATCTGAAATCATGGCAGGAGTGAGTGAGTGAGAGAATGCTCTGCAGAAATAAGGAACTAAATTTTTATCCATATAGATTACTTCTATTTTTGGTAGATGGAATAGTCACCCTAGTGAAGTCTTTTAAAGTAATGAGAATCTAGTTTTAAAAAGGTGTGAAATGACCTTATTCCCTTTCTTTTTGTATGTAGGGAGCATCAATTCTCAGAATGCTTCAAGATTGGATTACACCAGCAAATTTTCAAAAAGGATGTCAGGTATGAACTACAGTAAAACATGCCAGAAACAAAAATAAACCACATGTGGGAAAGGGAAAGATTTTACTCAGAAAAGTGAATGTGATACATTCTGGGCCAGCTCCAGGCACCAGTTTAGCAAGCAGGTGCTTGGGGTGGCCACTCCAGGGGGGGGCGGCATGTCCAGCTATTCGGCAGCAATTCGGCGGAGGGTCCCTCACTCTGGCTCGGAGTGAAGGACCTCCCGCTGAAGTGCCGCAGATCGCGATTGCGGCTTTTGTGGGGGGGGGGGGGGCTGTTTGGGGTGGCAAAAACCCTGGACCCGGCCCTGGGGTCATGGATACATTCGATTTTTGTGTTCTCATTACAATTTTAGATAACTATTTATGTACTAAAACATTCATTCCTAACATTTCTATACTAACATTTACTCCAATTAATCTAAATTTTATTTTTTGTAGGATGTAGATACACTAGCTCCTTCAACCACATCTGAAAAAGCTGTGTAGACAATAAAGGCTAGGTTACACAAATTCCCAGCATGATGGTACAGTTTGATAATGATATAGAAGTTATGGAACCTTTTGCAATGGGAATAGGTAGCAATGTTAAGTAGAAATTAATTCTCCCAATGAGTTGGAATTTGAACTGCAGGGTTGTATGTGTGTTTGAAGGCCAGCCAGTGATGACCCTAGGCACATGATATCTAACAATACCCTCTTGATTCCTCCTTAATACTCTATCGCCATGCTCTTATCTGTGTTAACTAGAACCTTGTCACCCAGCTACCAAAGCACTCCTGCATCTTCCTACCACCAAGGACCTCCAGACCATTCAGTTGTGCTATGCCGTTACAGAAATCTACCTGAAAGCTTTACAAATCTTGATTCACTTGGCACCTGCAAAAACTTGAAGCTGGTCCTGAGGCCACTACAGACAAACTCCTCTTTCAGAGCAATTAGGGAAGCCAGAGCCGATAAACAGAGTTACTCCACATCTGTCAATCCAGATGCATGGTGCTAATTTGCCCTTAAAAAAAAAAAGCTCTCTTTTACTTTACCCCTACCAAGAGGCTAGGATACATGGTTAGGATACATGCCAACTACCATACACACAAAAGAGAAAATTGGAGAACTTGGAGTCTTCTCCAAAAATAGAGGCCATAACTGCTGTGCTCTGAAATCTTTAAATAATTAATCATGATGCCTTTGTTTCCTGGGTTATTAAATATGTTCTTATCCTCACCCACCCATGCCAAACTCTTCCCCCCCCACACAAAACAACCCACCTCCTCCTCTTCCCCCCAAGATCTCTGAGTTGCTACACTGGCATTTTTCAAGGAATCTCTCACCTCAAAGTGAATCTTCAGAATATGTGATAGAGATGCCTGAGCCCTGTTTACACTGGTGCTCTCATCACTGCTCCCGAGCTAGAATTGACAGGGCTAAGATATGGAGGGGCTGGGAGAACATCCTAGCTGGCCAGCTGACTGATTATATTGAAACCACAGCAAAAACATTTCCGTACAATCAGCAAGGACAGTCCTACAAGACAGGAATATTCAGTCACACTCCACATTATAGGCACAAGCTGCCGTGATAAATACTTCCTGCTTACCCACATCCCTATAAAAGCACAGAAATAGCTGTGGCGGAGATTGAAACAAACAGCACCACCTACCTAACATTCTGTAGGCAGGCTAGGAAAGAAAATATCACATACTACTTGATGTGGCACAGTCTCAGAGTAGCACTGAACTGGGGGATAACATGTTCTAGCATTCAATATTTAAGCATAACAGGAAATCATTAAATAGCTAATTATTAGTTATCAGTTAAGCCTTTAAGAAGATTTTGATCACAGAATGCAGTTATCATAGTTCAACTTTGATTTCCACTTTTAGACACCCCTAAAATAACTCTCTTTGTGACCTATTTAATAAGACAGAAATGTACAATACAACTACATTTTGTCCACTTAAGTAAACAACAAAGAAAAAGTCAAGGGCCCTCTTCAAGGATTAATACATTGCACATTAATGTATCGTGTTGGAAAATACTGACTTCCCGTCATAAGAATAGGCCTGTCCTTTGGGAAGTACTGAAACGTTTTTGGATTAATATGGTTCCATTTGATTTATTGAAGGCACATAAGACTGGGATGATGGGGAAACTTTATTCCACCCTTTCAAATGTCTCATCAATGAGCAGCTATGTTTTTGCTGATTCTGTTTGTTTTTAAATTGAGACATATAAATTAATAAAACTTTTATAAAAAACAATGGACCCAATTTAGCTTCTAGAAGGAAGAAGAGGCTGGTTCTCTTATGGACAGTGTATAAATTAAAATCACACTTCATCCTGGCTGACATTAAGATCTTTCATGCCCCCCAAATTTTCACTAGGAAATGGTGTTTGTAAGTCATATGGACTAATATTTTGACACTTATAATTCAGTGTGCAATAATTTCTCAATGTTTCTGGCTTTCTCAAAGGCAGAAGAGTGGGAGCAACTGCTCCCACCCTGCATTTATACAGGGAGGAGTTGGGATATCTCTGAGCCTTGGTCTACACTGGGAGGGGGGGTGAAATCAATGCAAGTTACGCAACTTCAGCTATGTGAATAACGTAGCTGAAGTCGACGTACTTAGATCGACTTACCGTAGTGTCTTCACCGCGGTGAGTTGACTGCTGCCACTCCCCCATCGACTCTGCCTGAGACTCTCATGGCGGTGGAGTACAGGAGTCGACAGGAGAGGGTTCAGGGGTCGATTTATCGCATCTACATTAGAGGCAATAAAAAAAAAAATCGATCCCCGCTGGATCGATTGCTGCCCGCTGATCCGGCAGGTAGTGTAGACATACCCGGAGATCTCCTTTTTAGAACAACCTGTGGACCCTGCATTTGGAAAGTGTTTCCACTTTTCTTCTGTGCAGAAAGCAGTGAAATAAACAAATGTACACATCTCTCAAAGCCTTCGCTGGTTAAGAATAACACCGCTCTTAGGAAGGTATTCCGCATATTAGTACTACAGATAACATTACAATATGTGCATTGTTTTGACAGGTGAGGAAGGACATGCAAATATTTAAAACATTTGCTTCTCTTTTTTCCTAGGAGTACCTAAAGAAATACCAATTCCAGAATGCAAAGACAGATGATTTCTGGGAATCCCTGGCACAGGTATGGTCTGTAACAATTAACACCCTTGCTATTAAAAGTTTCTGTGCTCATCCTACAGAGCAGGGTTTCCCAAACTTTTTCATATTGTGAACCTCGTTAGTAGAGAGATCATATCCCAGGGAGCCTCCTCCAGCCCAGCAAACTCCAAATCTCATCCCTCTAGTAAATACAATACTCATTTTTTGCATGGGAAAATGTGGGTTGGAACTGGAAGCAAGTGAGGGGGAACTGACAAAGCAAAGCAATCCACATACACAAGAAATTTCAACCCTTCCAACCTATCCATCTGCCCACATTAGTCTCACTTAAATGTACGTACATACACACACTCCCCTAACATGATTCTTTCTATAGTAGGATTTTCTATAGCGCTCATCACAACAGTATCTAAGCCAGTAGCTCTCAACCTTTCCAGACTACTGTACCCCTTTCAGGAGTCTGATGTGTCTTGCGTACCCCCAAACTTTCATCTCACTTAAAAACTGCTTGCTTACAAAAATCAGACATAAAAATACAAAAGTATCACAGCAGACTATTACTGAAAAATTGCTTACCTTCTCATTTTTACCATATAATTATAAATCAATTGGAATATAAATATTGTACTTACATTTCAGTGTATAGTATATAGAACAGTATAAACAAGTCATTGTCTGTATGAAATTTTAGTTTGTACTGATTTCACTAGTGCTTTTTATGTAGCCTGTTGTAAAACTAAGCAAATATGAATTGATGTACCCCCTGGAAGACCTCTGCATACTCCCAAGAGCACGTATACCTCTGGTTAAGAACCACTGATCTAAGCACTTAGTATGACTGCCAGTTTAACTACCCTGGATCCCTACTACTCCCTCGTTTCCCACTAGACCTTGGTTCCTTCCTTCTCCCCAGGTTCTGGCTCTTTCCTCCCACCCTGCTCCCCAGTTGCCTCCTGAGGCCCAACTGTTTTCTGCCTCCCCAAGTTCCCAGCTCCTTACTTGGACACCATATGCCTTCCTCTCCCTCTCCCCCACCAGGTTCCTGACAGCCATTTTGCCCAAGTTCTACATTAGTGTCTCATCCTGCCCTCCCCCTAGTCCCAGGCTCTTGCTTGCCCGACCTGGCTCTCTCTTTGTTCTCTTCTCCCTCTCTGCTGCTCACAGTACCTTCTGGCCCTGGAGAACACCTTAAACCTGGCTCCTTTCCATCCAGCACATGGTGGGTTGGAGGGGCACTGGTTAAGTCCCATGGCCTCAGTCTGAGAGGCAGCTACACTTGAGTTCTGGGTAAAGAGGAAAGGAGGGGGCAGCTCCACCAGCATTCCCTAGTGCTGGCTGCTCCTCCTTCCTTCCACCGGCACCTACCTGAATTTGTCTGGAGGATGGAACCAGCAGCTCAGCTCTCTTCAGAGCACCTGGAAGGACTGGCTTGCAGACCATAGTTTGGGAATTCTGCTATAGAGGAGATTCGCCAATAGTGCTAGAATCTCAGCTAGTCCTTCCTGTGTTCTACTCCCTCCTCAGAAGGCAGCAGAGGAGGAAAATAGTTTGAGCTTGAAGTATGCAGAGAGGAGCAAGCCACAAGGGCAGGGAATATTCTTTGCCCCTCCTACTGCCTGAACCCTGACCTAGTTTAACCCTGTTTGCTTTAAGAGTATTTAAAATGTCTCCATTGACAGCTCATTACTTTTCTTCTGTTACATGCACCATGAAAGGGTTTAACAAATAAAATATTTTTGAGCCAATCTTGCTCTCTTATTTGCTGAATTGTTAGGACAAAGCCCTAACATTAATGAGGGAAACCTGTTACCTTTCTGGTCTCCCAGCCACTCAGCATGAGCGTTTTATTCCCTCTTCAGTCTGATTTAGCTTTCTCAGTGTGACCATCTGCTGTTATTCTTAGGCAAGTGGTAAGCCAGTGAAGGAAGTGATGGACACCTGGACCAGGCAGATGGGATACCCTGTATTGAGTGTGGCAGCTAATTCGAAGGTCACACAGAGACGTTTTCTGTTGGACCCCTCAGCAAATTCTTCTGAACCGACCTCTGCACTAGGGTAAGGTTTTACTGTATATGCCTGTCCTGTAGACAAACAGCAGAAAGAGAGATGCTGTAGATAGATATGCTCATATGGATTCATTCTCACACACACACACACACACACACACACACACACTTCTCCCTACCTTGCATTTACAGTTACCTCCCAAAACATGTAATGCAATGTACAGTAAATGTAATGTCTAAAGGAAGAGGTATGTGGTGTAACTTTGAATGCGTGGTACACGCCACACACCCCTATGCTTGAGTCTAATCACCTCTGCGTAACTTTGCCTTATGCCAAATAAAGGAACCTGAGTAACAGACAAGACTGGAAGTGAACTGAGTTCTTGGGAGACCAAGTGGAAGAGGTCTCAGGGGAAACCCAACAACCAGTAAATTACAAGAAAACTTAACAGGATGCTGTATAATAACTCCCCACACCCAGGACAACTACTGCATCAGCTGTGTGTGTCTCAGTGTAGAACACCAAATGTCTAAATCCAAAAGGAAGAAGAGGAAGGGAGGACAAATAGTATGGAGGACTGGGCGTAACGGAGATCACAGCAGTTTCAGTTATATATGGATAGTTTTTCAATATTTCTGAGTGAATTTCATGATGGTGGAAGATGCCCTATTTACAGCCCTGGAGACTTTAGCCACCAAAACAGGTACAACCATGGACAGAACAATGCAGCCTTCCCCATGCTGCCCAGCAAGTGTGTCTCAACAATAACCCACAGAGCACCATCAGTAAAGTCAAAAGAGTAGTTCTGTCCCCACGTCCATACAATTCTTGCTTTTTCTGCTTGAGACTGCCAACAAGGCTGCCAAACAGTGTCAACTGCGGTGGTGGTTTTGTGAAGTGAGCACCATTGGGGCTTGGACATTGGCCACCAACTAATTTTACACAGATCAAAGAGCCGTCAGCCAGAAAAACCACTTCTGGTCACTAGTGACCTGGTCTGGATTTGAACTGAAAAAATTTGCAGACTTGAACCAAGAAAAAATTTCATTTTTGCAAATTCTACCTCTGTGCCATATGGAAGATGGTATTCAATTAACAGCTCCTTACTGTTCACAACATTGGCTCATTGCATTATTCTCAGCAGGGGGTGAATCCAGCAGCCCGGCTTTCCTCAGATAATCAAAGGAATTAGAGCACCAGGTTCTTGGTGTTCATCATGCTTTTATGTAAATCCTAAAGCAAGTCCTGCCCTAAACAGCCATGTACATTGTGAACTGCTCCAGTCATTCCAGAAACAGTGGCATCTCAGTGGTGGGGGAAATTAGTTCTAGATAAGTAAAGTTTTATCAAGTGCTTAGGGATAAAATGCATATATAATTATTAATTATTATTATTATTATTTAATAAAACCCTGATATTATCTTAATTGGAATAGGTTTTATCCCTTGCAAAGGATCCAAGCGCACTGGAAAACTGTACTCCCTCCCCCAGCCAGCGTTGATGTGGGAGAGGAGACTACAGGGGCCTTGTGCCCCCCAGTGGAACTGTGACAGCTCAGCTCCAGGTCTGGGGCTGTGACTAAGCTGTGAAACAGAGTCTAATAAAAGTTTTGTTCTCTGAAGCCTGCAGGGATGGTCTCCCTAGATGGCTACAGTGCCCCTGTCCTAAGAAAGTCCTGTCCTGAATATTAACACTCAGAAGAGAAATACAACTTCAAGAACTCATGTTTTTTAAATAGTGCTGGTAGGCAAGTATGTGGCTGCAATATAGCATGTCAGGAACACATCCTCAATACCCCTACTTAACAGGATATGGACGTTGTACTTAATGCCCAAGAGAAGTATTTATGTACACGATCTCTGGAACATATAAAAACACTAAAGGAAAAATCACTCCACTAAGTGCATTTACAAAACAAATATTAAAAACTCTTTTACTGGCTTTCTCCTGGAGAAATGCAACAGCCAGGCTTTTGGCCAAGTAATAACCCTTTTAAACTCCATGGCAATAATTCTCCAAAAGACAGCTAATAAAAGTTAGAAATGTAAAAATCTGTTAAAATATTTTTATTTAAAAATATAAAACAAGAGCTGACCTTTCTCCCCGTAAGTAGCAAAGAGACATGACTTCCTTCATTTTCTTACTTGCTAGAATGAAGCTATCGTTCCTTTGATTCTAAGTCAGAAGAATGACAAGTTTTTGTATAGTGTTTGTTGCCATGGTATCTAAGATGCTAGAAAAACATCTCTGGGCTGGATATTGATACCCTTGCATTATACAGTACCTTACTTCCCAACTGCTGCCACTGATTTCAATGAGACTTATCAAGGAGTAAGATACTATCATAATCTGGCACTCGGTGAGGGAGGGAGGAATCAATGTGGTCTAAGAAGAAACACAGGATTGGAACAATCAAGACGTCCTGAATTCTAATTCTCCCTCTGACACAGATTCGTTGTATAGCCCTCAAAGAATCACTTTCTATTTCAGTTTTCCTTATCTGTAAAACAGGCATAGTAATCCTTAGCAACTTACCACACAGGGGTGTTGTGAAGTTACTGTCTGTACAAAACTTTGAACATATAAACCTCTACATTAATGCTAAGGTCACCCATCCACATATAATCATACTTCATTAAATTAAATGCCTTGTGATCTACTAGATTAGCATGATAGGATACCGAAATACTACTTGACAAGACTATATTTCCAACTGTGTATAATTACAATAAACACATTTACAGTATATAATGGTACAGAAATTAGCTAGTCCACACAACACTCCTCTGATATTGGGTAAATATCATTCCCATTTTATAGATGGGGAAACCGAGGCACAGACACATTAAGGCCCTCATTCAGAAAGGTACTTAAGCACATCTTAACTTTAAGCATGTGAATCCTTCCATGGATTTCCAAAACATGGCTTGGTCAATGGAACTACTCATATGGCTAAAGTTTAGCATGTGACTAAATACCTTGCTAAATCAAGGCATAAGTTACTTGCTTAATACCACACAAAGTCAATGCCAGAGTTTGGACTAAAACTCAGTAGTCCATAGCTCCCAGTCCAGTGCTCAGTCTGCCAGAGGCAGCAATTATGTATAGTTCATAGTTTTAGGGACTAACTACTGCTATTCTCCATATCGAAAAGAGGAATGCTATCAGAAACCTCAAACCTTTTATTTTAACTTAGAAATAGAATATTGTCCTCATCATGCAGCATTTGTCCAATAAAAATAACCAACTATCTATTTTACCTTGCCTGGATCCAAAATTTTTATAAACTGCTTTTGCCAGGAAGATATCCTAAAGAAGTTTTTATTATATTTAAATAATCAAGATGTTGGGAAAGCCCAAAATTTGTTATCTGTGGTATTTAGTCGCATATTAGTGGATATCTAGATATAGATACTTCTTCATAGTCAATTTATAAATATTTCTGTACCTGTGTAAGTTTCTGCAGTGCCTAGCACAATAAAGCTGGAGATGCTACAATAAATGCATTTTTTAATCATGATAATTGATAACAATGTTTTAAATGTGTTATTTTAGGTTCTCTTTCAAAAGTTGTTTATTTTTTTCAATTGAAATCATTTCAGTTACACATGGAATATCCCAGTGAAATGGCGTGCTGGGACCGAAACAAATGTTACATTCTACAATAAGTCAGTATCTGCAGGTAAACTTCAGTAATGTTTCATTTAAGAATAACAGTAGGCTCAATGTGACAATCACACAAAGCTTTAAAAATATCCTTAGTAAGAACTAAAAAGTAATTAACTTTTATGCTCTTCAGTGCTTGAAACACACTGCTTGAAAATAAAGGAGTTAAGGTCCTTCCCTGGAATGAGAATAAGCCCCTCCCATAAACAAGATTATGCTAATTAAGTCCCATAATTAAAATCTATTCTTATTTATTCACACAATATGACACTCCGCCTAATATAAAATTGGTCATTTGGTTTAGAGGAAATTGGGGCACATTAAAACAAAGATTTCCATTTAATGTTAATGATAGCGTGTGTATGTGCGAGGCCTGCATATTCAAACATTTAAGATATGCTTAAATCCATCCCTACTCATAGCTAAGCACATGTGTAGGTGCTTTTCTAAGCATGCTGTCCCATTGATAGCAATGGGACTTAAGTATGTGCTTTCCTGAATCTCAGCCTAAGGGAGAAGCTGGATCTGGATACTGATAAATACATCTCTTGCAGTGATAGGTGGCAGTCTGGACTCGCTTAGTTTAGGTGGAGGGAGCTGCAGTACTCTTATGTTTGGAGTTGGCTGAAGCTATTTTCTGCTAAAAAAACAAACAAACAAACAAGAAGATGTCCATGAAAGTTGTGTGGTTTTTTTCCCCCAAACATTCTACATTTCAAAATTTGAAAAATTTCGACTGCTCAACAAAATTTCAAAATTCAAAAATATATAACCAGTTCTTCTATTCTCTTTTTGTATTTAGCACTTGTCTCCCTCTTTTAGTTTAGTTTTTTTTAATTACTTTAAAGTTTGTGTTTAATTTACTTGCATTCAGAGTCTAGGATGAAAATGAAACCTACCCATTATGTTATGATGCATAACTGAAAATTGCATGAAAGAATTTTCTCTCGCCACTCTCCCCATCACAACACAGGAGGCTGAGAGTTGTCCCAATGAATTAGAACAGTCTTTTGAAATACCTTGCATGGTTCATCCAAAGTTAGAAATACTATTTACTAAGGGCTGAGTCAATACGCATTGGAGTAAAAGTCTTCTGCTTCAGACACTGGAACAGGCACTAAGTGAACTTTCAAAACTGCTGACCACAGTGGGAGCAGTTTAACTTTTGAGAATGAAACATCATCCTCAAGGGTTAGGCTTCATTCTGAGTTTCCATGAACCTCAAGACTTGAGTAAGGGCTTGGTTTATTTTGGGATTTAATTAATCTGTAGTTATAGAAATTGAATCAAGGAAGAGGAAGGGAAAAGAGATGCATGGACATAAAATGGAAAAACATGCAGAGGATAAATAGGTAAAATATAAAATCAGATTAATACAAACCATAACACTGAGAACTGATAGAGGCTTTTGGAATAAATATTAATAGGGATATTTTTGTGATTAAGTGTTTACTGCAAAAAGAATAATTTCCTTTATGCTTATTCTAAGTACAGTAGTCTCCATTTAATAATGAACATTTGCCTACAGATTTCACACTGTTACCACAGTTATTTCCTATTCTAAGCTAACAGCTGCGTCAATATCTTTACTCACTGCCATTTTAGAGCAGCCAACCTATAATTAAGCTTCGGGTCCTTTGTGGATAAGGGTTAAAAATCAAACATGAATTTTGGAGTGAATGTATTTCCAATGAGCACCCTTTCTCCCTCCTCCCCCCCCCCGGCATATATTTATATGCATGTACATTTTTCATTAGTATTTGTTTACAGCCACAGGAATTACTGTAACACCCAGCAACCCTGATTCTTTACTGAAAATAAATCCAGACCACATTGGATTTTATCGTGTAAATTATGAAACACAAACTTGGAACAACATAAGCAGATTATTGGCTATCAACCATACGGTGAGTCTGATGAAATTAACTGGATTTGGTTGTAAGCTGGTTGGTTTCTGGGATCTACTAATAATTGTTGTTTCTTCTACAAAATATAAACATCTTTTTGCTTTCTTCCTCCCCTCGTGCAGTCTTTTTCTTCTGCTGATCGTGCCGGGCTTCTGGATGATGTGTTTTCTTTGGCAAGGTAGGTTTTATAATGAAACTAACACATAATAGACCAGGGTGGGCAAACTACAGCCTGCGGGCCACATCCTGCCCACCAGCCAATTTAATCTGGCCCTTGAGCTCCTGCTGGGGAGCGGGGTCTGGAGCTTGCCCTGCTCCCACACTCCAGCCGGGGAGTGGGGTTAGGGGCCGCTCTGCACGGCTCACAGAAGCAGCGGCATGTCCCCCCTCCGGCTCCTACGTTTAGAGGCAGCCAGGGGACTCCGCATACTGCCCCTGCCCCAAGCGCCGCCCCAGCAGCTTCCGTTGGCTGGAAACTGCAGCCAATGGGAGCTGCAGGGACGGCGCGTGCGGACAGGGCAGCGTGCAGAGCCACCTGGCCGCGCCTCCACGTAGGAGCCGGAGGGTAGACATGTCGCTGCATCCGGGAGCTGCTTGAGGTAAGCAGTGCCTGGAGCCTGCATCCCTGAGCCCCTCCTGTGCCCCAATCCCCTGCCTCAGCCCTGATTCCCCTCCCACCCTCCAAATCCCTTGATCCCAGCCCAGAGCACTCCCCCGCACCTCAACCCCTTACCCCAGCCTGGCGCCCCTTCCTGCACCCTGAACTCCTCATTTCTGGCTCCCCCCCAGAGCCCGCCACCCCAGCCAGAGCCCTCACCACTACCCCCAGGTCCCAACCCCAGCCCTGATCCCTCTCTGGCCTTTCGAACCCCCTGGTCCCAGCCTGGAGCACCCTCCTACACCCCAAATCCCTCATCCCCAGCCCCACCCCAGAGCCCGCACCTCCAGCCAGAACCCTCATCCCTCCCGCACCTCTGCCCCAGCCTGGAGTCCCCTCTCGCACCCACAGCCAGAGCCCTCACCCCCTCCTATACCCCAACCCCAATTTCATGAGCATTCATGGCCCACCATACAATTTCCATACCCAGATGTGGCCCTTGGGCCAAAAGTTTGCCTACACCTCTTATAGATATTTAAAAATAGTTTTCATGTCTTCCCACTGGTTATTATATTGGCACTCTCTTGGTTTGGATGGTAAGAATGAGAATTTTTAAACTATTATTTTGTTATAACTACAGAAAGAATTAGGCCTTGGTTTGTCTGTAGCAGCCTTTTCTTCTCTTACATTTTCCTCCAGAAGGAGCAAATTCAAATGTGTGTACAACTCTTATTGATATCAGTTAGAGTTGGCCTTACCTGTCCAGTATTAGGGTCTGATCCTGAATCACTGAAGTTAATGGGAGTTTTGCCATTCGCTTCAATGAGAGAAGGATTTATTTCCTATCTCTGGCTGCAGAACTCTTGGCTTTTTGAGCCTGGTGTGGATGGCAAGGCAATGACAGAAGTGTTCCAGATGAAGCCATGTTCTCAGAAGAAACCAGGTGTCTAAGGAGAGTCACAGAGGGTGTCCCCCTCTGCGTATATGTCTCCATAGATATCCCAAAATTCACCAGATTTCTTTCTAAATCTCGAATTAGGACAGTTAATGAGACGTAACTTCTTTTTTGGTCACACAACTGTGTGTACCTTTTCAAGGTTTATTTGGTGAATAAAAGCAAGTAACTACACAATGTTGATTGCCCTAGAATGGTAATGAGAGCTCCTTCAGAGCTGCTCTGCTCTTGTATGTGACATCTAATCATAATAATCCTTCAGAACTTTCTTTGGAAAGTGCCTCCTGTGTATGTTCCATAACTTTTTCCCAAGTATATTATCTGAGCCCTTTTAAAGAGCACGGTGCTATAATAATCTCTTTAGCACTTTAATTGCTGCTATCACACAATACAGACAATTCCTTTTGCCTTGGGATGAAGTGAAGGGCTCTTGTGGGTGTGCAGTTGAGTAGCTGTGTATAAAAGAGATAAACACTGTGAGAACTGGAAGGACTGTTGATAACAGAGTTCCATAAAAAAGTCAGGAAAATAAAGATGGTTTGGGCCTGGTTACTAAACCCATTAAGAATGCAACTGCATAAGCAAAATATATGCACAATTTTGCATTCAATTTACTTGTAGTTATTTCAGTTGTGCATGCAAGGGATTAATTATGATCATTTGTTCCCACGTGACTGAATTGCACACACAATCAAAGCAAGTGTGTGCATGAATTGTACATCTAATTTGTTTAGAATCAAACCCTTCACGTTCAATACCATGTACAATACAAAACAAAACAAAAAAACCCACAGCATAAGATTTCATGATTATTAAACATACTAGTTAGATATTTAGAGCTACTTTGTCCCTTCTGTGAGACTCACATTACCAAATATTGTATGTCACTTATATTCTGCATTACAAATACTAGCTAATCTTCGCAACAACTCTTTAAAGTGGGTAAGGATTAACATCCCCATTTTGCAGATAAGGAAACCCAGATACACAAGTGTTAAGGGATTTGCCAAAGACCAAACAGTGAATTGGTGGTATTAGAATTTATGGCTTTCTGGCTCTCAGTCATGTGATCAGACCACTATTACTACCTATTATACCTATATTATACTACCTATAATACCTATTGCTTGTGCAAATACAAACTTACAGCCAGAGTATGAATCCCTTACTCCCACTAGTGAACAGTTACAAAAGCAGTCCCACTGAATTCATTGGATTTTTTCCCCAATATTAAAATTATTTCCCCATGTTTATTTCTGTGTCATAAAAAGATTTGCAAGCCAGTCTGTATTCCTGGCTCTGCCACTGGCCTTCTGATTAACCTTGGGCAAGTGACTTTAACCACTCTATGCCTCAGTTTCTCCAGCTGCAATATGGAGATAATGCTACTGACCCTTTTTAAAGTACATTAAGATTTACTGATGAAAAGCACTGTTAGCCCTAGGTATTATTGTAATTACTTACTGATTTGAAACAACCTCCTCTAGTAACACCTACTCAGAATAGATTCAGCAGATTTTCTGCATTTTACTATAAGTTGATAAATCTGTAGCCAAATACTTTCAGCAGAGAAAACTAATCCTTAGATGAGCTATGTATCCATAGTGCTGCTGCGACATATGCCCCTCAGCATTGCGGATGAAATTTACAACACTTCCATGACTGCAACACAATTAAAAGTGTGTGATTTTCAGCTGTCCCATCATAACACAAAATCTCCAATACATGCAAGTGCGGGAGGGGGGAGTCGAGAGTCTACATTAAAAGCAGGTGTACAGAAGCAGACTTTTATACAGGCCTGGACCGTTTCACCATGTAATAGGGAGGGAGAGATGGTTCTCCAGAATAGGCTATGAAGTCAATCAGGTTATCACTAAAGCGGAGTGAAATTATTTTTTCACAGAAACTTTTTCCAGTGTGTGTGTGGGGGGGGGGGGGGGGAGGGATAGATTCAACCTGAATTCACAAAATGTTTCAGTTCACCTGAATTTGCCAAATTGTTTTGATTTTAAAAAAAAAAAATCTGAAGCATCAATCTGGTCGACCAGCAATGAATTTGTCTGATTTCTCCCTCCCCGCTCTCCCCCCCCCGCCATGGACTGAACAATCGCTGCTCTCCCAAGAGCACCGTGCTGAATGGTGGTGTGCTTGCTCTGCCTAGTCTATTTTTAGACCAGACAGTGAGTTGAATCCTCATGAGTGCCTGTTCCATAATATAGCACATTCCCAGGGAGGAAAGGGATAAGAAAGCCACAGCAGCCCCCACCTCCTACTGTTTGGGGAGGGGAGGGGAGAGGAAGATGTTGCCCCTGTTCCTTCCTAGAGAAGACACAGTTTGTTGGCTCTCCAGAACTCCTAATCAGCCCTATCCCATGGCAGCGGGGGGGGGGGGGGGGAGAATAGGGGAGGAAGAGGGAGACAAGAAAACTTCTCCCAACCATGTTCACAGAAACTGGAAAAGAGGACACTGCTTGTTTGGAGGCCCACTCCGTCCTTCTCTCTTCCTATCAGAAGACAGGGTGTAGTACATGGCTGGGGAAGAAATGATGAGTGATTTGAAGGACAGAGAGAGAAAAGGGAAAGTGATTGATGGAGAGGGAAGAAGAAATTAAACTAAGGCAAACAGACACTGAAAAAAAATAGAAGGCTGATGTCTAACTTGGCTCTTCTGAAATTTGGATTTGAACAGATTTGCTTCTAGAGAGGCACATGCTCCTGAGGCGAGTCCCTCTGCTTCCTACAGATTGTTTTATTGGTCCTATTGTACATTGTCCTCAACAACAACAACAAAAACTGTTTCCAAAATACGCAAGTTTTCAAATTGCATACAATGAATTCCTTCCAAAAAGAGCTCCTCACAAGAATGATGCAGCGATGGAACGTGGTTACAATTAACACCCAGTACATTAGACTTCTGTGTGTTCCAGTTACAAATGAGACAGGATTTGTAAGATTGTGTCAATTCTCTCTCTTCCTTCCTCAGGGCTGAACTTTTGAATTATGCTGTTCCACTGAATCTAACAAAATATCTACCAAATGAAGAGGATTATTTACCTTGGCATAGAGTTATATCAGCTGTATCTTACCTCAGAGACATGCTTGGAGATGATATAGAGCTCTACCCCAGGTTTAAGGTGATACAACCAATGAAAGTCTTGTTTATAATCTATTAATCCTACAGTTCAGGGTTATAACAATGATAGTATTGAAGGCTGAGTGATTTTCAAAGTTGCTGAAGCTGTTTTATGTATAATTTCAACATTAAAAGATGTATATTATTTATTATACTCTTAACATATATTTTGCGAGCTGATTTATATAGGCCCATGAATTATACAGATCCCCAACTGTGGATCTGTATATACTGGAAATAAAATTGGAGTGTTCCCAGTTATGGTTGCCACCTACTTTGATTGTTCACTGTACAGTTATTTTTGTGCCAGGGCTGTCATGTGTATTACAAGCAGGATTGTTCAAGATAGCAAAACTTCTGATGCCTTACCTACACCATGAAAGGTAACCATGTCTCAGTGAGGTTGTCAGCAATCATGATAGCTGACCTGGGGTTGAACAGACTTCAGTGGTCAGCACAGATAAGCACAAACTGTAGTCAGCATTATTTCAGGGGACCAAGCTGAGCAGAGTGTGTCCTAGTTTACACTGGTGGTTATGTTATCATAGTGTAGACAAGGCTTGAGGCTCATTGGACATCTTCATGTTGTGTCAGTGCATCATAACAGTGCAAAGCAAAGGTGCAGTATGATGTTCACATCCTTTCATGACATGGTGACTTTGCTGAAAGTTTTTTTTCCCGGGGTATGTTGTTGTTACTGGAATTTTTAAAAAGGCAAACTATGAAGATGAAAACCTTGTTACATCATGAAACCTATAAGGGTAATCAGAAAACCTCTTTATTTCAGACATACTTTCGCAGTCTGGTTAAACCCATTGCAAATAAGCTGGGTTGGAACGATGATGAAACTGGAAGCCATGTGATGAGGTTAAGAATTTATTGTGTATATTAATATTATAGATAGACTCAGATTGTGGAACACTAGGAAAATCTCCCTCTGTTTTTTTTTATTTTATTTTTTTAAAAAGGCTTCTTCGTGCAGATGTTTTAGGATTTGCATGCAGCATGGACGACCAGGATGCTTTGAACAATGCATCTAGCTTATTTTATTCCTGGTTAAATGGAGCAAGGTGAATATTCATGGTTTTTGCATTCAGTTACGAGTACTGTGTATGGTATTCTAATGCAACTCAAAAAAAGGTGGCAACCATAATATATTTCTGTATGTTTTTTAGTCCATCTGTAAATCTCCGGCTCTTGGTATATCGCTATGGGATGCAGAACTCCGGCAATGAGACATCATGGAACTATATGTTTCAGAAATACCAAAGTACTTCATTAGCTCAAGAAAAAGAAAAGCTGCTCTATGGTCTGGCATCAGTGAAGAACATCACCCTTTTGGACAGGTTGCTGAAAATATGCCGAAAGAGTTATTTTCCTTCCCCCATATACCCACCCACATTACCATTTTTGTCATATATAAAGTATGATATAGAACACAGCAGATTGTCAAATGCGGTCACTCTTGAGTAGTCCTCCCTGAGATTATACTGCCAATAACTAGGCAAAGTCATTGTTCCCTTGCTTGAAAGAATATGCTCAGGTGATGGGTTTTATAGCTCTTCATCTCTTGCAAGCACAGAACTACCCTAATTACTACTACCACCACCACCACCACCACCAGGGCAGTATCCTCCAAGGTCCCAGTTGGGATCTGGGCACCATTGTCCTAGCCCCAAAAAGAGTTTACAATTGAAGACAAGATTAAACAAATGAGCAGAATTAACAATAGGAAAAACTAGAAGAGTGGGGATGAAGGTAACAGTAATATGGATATGTGGTGACCGAGGTTAGCATTGTGTATAACTTCACAGGTGCACATCATTTAAAGTTATTTCATAACTAACCCCTACCCAGTCATCACTTCTATGACTAAAACATGGATTATTCAGACAAACCCAAATCTGCAGAGCAAAAACACAACAACAAAAAATCTGCACTGTAGGTAACTCACAGGTGGAATTTGGCCCTTCCCAGAATCAACTTTTTTAGTGAAATAAGGGAAAAAAAGAACACACCACTGAGAAAGCTGGCTGTGCACTCAGCCACTTGTTTATGGAGCTGAAGAACAGAACCATCAGCCCCAAGTTACAGTAGCTGAAGAGGAACCTTTTTGCAGCTGCTACTGTACATTGTAGCTAGGAGTAGCTTCCCAATATTGTCCTTAAATGTGTCTATGTGACAGTGAGTCCACCCATTTTATGGACCTATGGGTCACACCCCTGACCTACTGCATTATAGACCTTCTATAGTTCACAAGATTTCATCCTATTAGACGAAGGAACTTTGACCTCACTCACTGGGATAGAAAACGGATAGATTTAGGGTAAAATTTTCAAGTGAACTAGGAAATCAATGGGAACTAGATGCCTCAATATCTTTGAGGATCTGGGCCGTAAGCCCTGTTAATTTTCAGTGAGATGCCCGGGGCTTACTTTGTGCTGGAGCTCAGCTCCAGCATCGATTCTGGCAGTAGTGTGCCAGGCATGACCTTGCACATATGGTGGAAACAAGGTCATGATATGTGGAAGATGCCATTGTTATTGCTTGAGCCCAGGCACCTTTAAAAAAAAAAAGTAAACACTAGCGATGTCTACATGCCTGTCACTTTTGAGAAAAAAAAAATCTTATCCTTAATAGGTAAATCACATTTTAGACCAGCCTATTTCATCCTTAAAATGGTCTAGGAAAAATAAGTCTCTAGTGTTAGATCTTCCATAGTAAAATACAAATATTTCTGCAGATGGTTTAGGTTCGTCTCAGCAACTTGAATCGTTTCTTTACAACTCACTTTTCACAATCTTTAATGAAAGATTTTAAAAAGTCTGTTTAATTGTTTCCCATCTGGTTTCTCCTAGGTATCTAAAATATATTTACAACACCAGTCTTATTAAAAGTCAGGATGTGTTCACTGTCCTGAGATACATCTCCTATAACAGCTATGGCAAAACCATGGCTTGGGACTGGATACGGCTCAACTGGGAATACTTAGTCAGCAGGTATGTTAACATCCTTTGAACGTTTTACACTTAATTCTAAGTCTCCTGCTCTTTATTTTCTTATCTCACCTTACTTTAGGTCTCTCCACACAGTCACCATTAGGTACAGGAACACATCAATCCATTTTTCTTAATGTGAAGCAAAACTTGCAAATATCTTTGGGTTTACCCATTTCTGTGGAAGCAAATGGCTCTAAGAAGCAACTCCTTTGGACAGAGAGAGCTGAAAATGTTTTAAATATTATTGCAGCCTGTGGTGAGAAAAAAAAAATTTCTGCCAACTTGAAAATACTACACTAAAGTTCCAGTCTGAATCAAAACTTGCTGAGAGCTAAGTAACAATCAAAACTGCATTGTGCTAGTTACCTGCCTCTCTTTTGGACAAAGTAACTAGCTATCAGATCTTTGAAACACTGCATAACATAGGAAGCACATTTAAGGCCCTAGTTCAGCAAGTTACTAAAAAACCTGCCTGACTTTAAGCATGTGAATAATCCTATTGGTTTATGGGAGACCAGCTTTTCTGAGACTCCAGCCATTAACATTTGATCTTGTGAGATACTGAGCACCCTAATCTGCCACAGCTTTCACAACACTCAGCTCCTTGCAGACTAAAGACTGTATAAGGCCCCCCACACCACTTAAGCTACCAGTGGAATAACTAAACAAACTTCAGAGGGAGTCGTCACACCAGCTCATCAGAAACTGTTGCAGAGGCTAGCAATAATTCCATGGATTCAGTGACTAACGCCCATGCAAGTAGTGTGAAAGGGCTGCACCTGCTGGGACAACCAATAGGCTTGAACAACAGCTACAGAGAAGATGCATTGTAGCCCAGTGCCCTAGGTAGATTTTGCATCTTCCCCTGTTCCCCCCCCCCCCCCCAAAAAAAAAGAATTTCCAGTCATTTCACCCATATAGACACTGCCCATTCTGGTTTTCTGCAGGCATATTGATTGTCACCCTTAGTGAATTGTGATCTCTCCCACACTAAGTTGTGACAGCACCAGAAGAATCAGTCAGGACGCTTTTTGCTTTAATATTTACTCATAATAAGCCAAGTATTTTTCTAGGAAAAGGAGAGAGAAAATACATGACAGTTTCCTAGAGGCATGCCATATTATTGTTTGGGCTTTATGAACAGTAAATCTATGTGGTAAAGAATTGTAATATGAATTTGAGGAATAAAAAGATATAGATAAAGCAGTTAAGACTTATTCTACAAGGTATATTTCTATTCCTAAATGATCATTAGCAGCCAATGCCAAGAGAAAACTGTAGCAAGTTCCACAGAGTTACAGGAGTGTTCTTCTATGGACTCTGCAGCAGTCAATCCCCAATCTGGCCTAATACGGAATATTCTCTTTATTCACAGCAATCTACAATGAGGGGTCTTGTAATTTTCTTATTCCCTCTTGTAGTAACAATGAAATCAGCTTCCAGCTTTGCTCCTGTCTATTCACACTGATTCCTGAGATGCTCTCTCACTCCTACTACTAGAGAAGGACATTAGAAAGGGAATCTAATTGAAACTCACATGAGGGCATAGAATCACATTAAGCCTGCCAATTTACAGAGGTCCTCTGGCCATACACAATTTTAGCTCCACAAAGGGACACAGACATGTGAGGGTGTTGTAATGGAAATTTCTCTCAAGGGTTGTCTTGATTCCAGGCAGAAGACACCATTCTTTGAATATGTTTACATCAGAGATCTCGCCAGGTATAGCTAAACTACAGAATAGTACAAAAATAATATTAATATGCTTTTTCAAATATTTTTGGTAACATCTGGAATTTGGGGCAACATCTATTTCATGATACTAAAAGCGTTTAACAATAAAGGAACAAACACTCCAAAAAAAGCAATATTATTTTTATATCAAATACTATTTATTTTTTTCAGATACACAATCAATGATAGAAATCTTGGTCGAATAGTATCAATAACCCAAACATTCAACACTGACCTTCAGCTTTGGCAGGTATGGAGATGATGCCTATAGTCATTTTAAACTACTAAGTTATAAGATCTTCCTCGGCAGGAAACTTGCCCTTTTATTCTCTAAGATGCCTCACATAATCCTGAATGCTATAAAATAATTATTCAAGTACTACCAGTCCAATCCTGAAGTCCTTTCTCAAGTAAAACTTTCCCAGATTTCAAGAACATAGAATCGGGCCTTATAAAAATGATTTATTTGATATTAAATACAACAGAAGTACTTGTTGCCTGTGAATTCATTTTCATTTTCTCTTTTCAAGATGGAAAATTTCTTTGAAAAATACCCTAATGCTGGAGCAGGAAAAGCACCCAGGAAACAGGCTCTCGAAACAGTAAAGAATAATATTGAATGGCTAAAACAAAACAAGGGAGAGATAGAAGCATGGCTAACAACTTAATGTTTTACTTCAAAGTTGCAAAGAATTAAAAATATATTGTCTTAATTTTATGCACTTACTGTTTCTTACATGAACATTTGGGAATCCATTTACAAATGCTGTCTCTGAATCCTACAAACATTTATGCACTTGAATAACTTTACTCATGTAAAATAAATAAGACTACCTGTAAGAGTAAAGTTACTCATGTTATAAAAAAATTGCAGGATTGGGCTCCTGTTTGTACTTCCCACCTACTGCTTTGAAAAAAAATGTACCCCTTTGTTTATGTAGAAAGAAACCCATTTAAGAGTATTTAAAACACTCAGGGATACCCTTCCAACTGTATTTTACAGGTGGTCTATTCCAAGAGAATTTAGTAGTAATTTGAACTTGTTTTAAAATCATATTATATATTTATACTTGTAAAAGCCAGCATGTGGGATTTAGTTTTGTGTTCTTAGTACTAAAGAAATGTCAGTTAATTTTGTTTCCCGATTGATTCTTTAAAAGTGTAACTACTGGTATTCAAGGGATCAATATTACCAACCTACTGTTTAAGTTTATTTGGGATTCTGTAGTTTTTATATTTTGTTTTTCTCTCTAAATCCTGTCAAAGTAACAAGCGCCTAGGATAGAAGTCACTGTATGTTTTAGACAAGGAAATGGGTACCTGTTACCTCTCTTTCCATAAGAAGAGCAAAAACAAACCAACAAAAACTAGGAAACACTCACTCTTAACTAGGAAGTAAAAGACTGGCCACCACTGCCTTTTTGAAAAACCATCAACCACTGCTTCTTAAGAATTTCAGATATGGCAATCACTTTGAGACCTCCAGCCCTAGGAGGGGCAAATTCATCCCTGTGCTGGACCTAGGGCTGGCCCAGGAACATGGGGAAAACAGATTGTGCCTCCTCTATCCAAGAACAACTGGGGGCCAGTTTGTCTCCCAGTGCAGGCTACTGAGTAGAACTGAGAGTTGGCCAAACTTATCCACTATTTCAAGGGGCCACTGCAGGAGTGCAGAATCAATGGGGAGTAAAAACACACCTCCTTTCGCCCTGGAATGTCCCCCAGCAGGCAGGAGGGTGTGTGAGACTGCTGAAGAGATGGCACAGAGCTGGCTGTGCACCAGGAATAGAGAAATATCCTAGGAACAGGGGGCTCCTGTGCGGCTACTCCTGCCTTATGCCACCCCTCCAACCCATTTGTTCCACCTTAGCTGGTGCAAAAAGGGGGTGCAGAACAACTGTGAATCTGGATCCAGCTGTGAAAGAATAAGCAGTTTCTTCACTTTCAGCGATTTGAGAATCAGAACTGATGCTTCCTCATGTTCGATTGACCCCTTATACATGTTTCAGGACAAATTCACCCTAGGATGGGCAGGTATCTTCCATTGAGGTCAGAGAATTCTAGTGATCGCTAGTCAATTGCTATGTGAAAGGAAAGTGTCAGCCAGCATTCCGCAAATAAACATTTAAGGATTTTAACCTGCAATGGTTACAACCCACTGCTGTCATATGCTTCCAATTGTGATGGGAACATGGCAAAGAGCCAAGTGACTTCTTCAGTGCTCTCGCCTTTGCCCAGCAATGAAAGTGAGGCAATTGTACAGAACCAAAATATGCACAGACCCTGAACAAAACCTTTCACTTTTCCCCCCAATATGAAGAACTATTTCATATTGTGGTGGAATCTCCATCCTTGGAGGTTTTTAAGGTCAGGCTTGACAAAGCCCTGGCTGGGATGATTTAGTTGCTGTTGGTCCTGCTTTGAACAGGAGGTTGGACTAGACGACCTCCTGAGATCTCTTCCAACCCTAATAGTCTATGATTCTATATTTATAATGAGCCCTTGTCTGGACAAGTACATATCACATGCGTCTTAGACCCCATCATCTTTTGTTTGTACCTTTAAAGATTTTTATGATTGAATAAAGCAAATCAATATGGTGAATAAAGCAAATAAATATGGTGGCTCTTCTCCTGTGGGCTGATTTAATGTTAGCACCCTGCAATATAGAATACATAGTAATACTCACTGGCACAGGCTGTTTTCCCCCATCAGAGTCACACTGCCTATTTTTAGCCAAATGTTTTTGATCCTATCTGGCCAATACGTACTGTGTATTCCCCTCTGTACCTGAGCCAAAAGAGATAGAGATCCGTTACAGCTTTCACCTTAAGAGCCGAGCATTTTAGCTCCACCTTGTTCTTTTAGCTTTGGAGGTACTCAGTTCAATCCCTGGTGTGTCAGCTATCACATAAGTGAGGTCTCATCTGGGACTGAACCAGAGACCTCTACCGTGAAAAGCAGGAGTTAAAAGGAACCACCTCTCAAGCTGAGAATTGTAATAGATCCATATCCTCTGTGGATCAGCCATAGAGCGATACCCATTTCATATACTGAGCAATGGGTTACATTCGCACCTATCAAAAAGAGAAGAGAATTAGTTTTACAAGATGGTTCAGCTCTATTAGCTTCAAGACAGGCATTCTAGTTGATTTGTGAAGTCGGTCTGAAAAATACAGATTTTTGTGTGTTAATTAATAAAACAATAATGAGAAAATGTGAGGCAGCTCATCTAGTAGGAAGAGAGGGGAGAAGATGAGTTTCTAAAGGTCTAACTAGATTTGATCCAGTGCACTAGTGGACACTGTTACAAGCAGCAGCGTTTGACAAGTGTTTCTGGTTGAATTTATTCCCTCAATCAACCAAGATAAAGAGTTTTATTGCATTAGTAAATACACCAAGACAGACACTAGGAGAAGCATGTTTTTCAGGCAAGTACCTCACGGACTCTCACTTTCTGACAGAGAAGAGTTTTACAGACGAGTAATGAAATGTCAGGAAGAGATAATTGAACCTCTAGCATCAGCCATAATTTCTGGTTGGGAAAAGGGATTATTGATGCCAGATTCTGTGTGGATGATAGAAAATTAAATGGTCACTGGGAGCTCCCGCTCATGGAAGCCCAGCAAGTGGTCCCTTGCCTCAGTTTCCTTCTCGATTCCTCAGATATACTCTGAAGGGTGCAGTGAGTTTATAAATAGCCCTTTTTTGTGATTTTAGCTTATTACCCAAAATCCCCCAGCCTCAGAGCAGTCCAAACAGTACATTCGTCCCCAACCGTCCAATCCCAAGTATGGCTCCAGCGTCTCTCACCGGGCTCCAGCATCTCTCACCATGCCAAAGCCAGCTCCTCCCCATAGAGTCTTTCTCTGCCTTATTTCCTTCCCAAGTATGGTTCTAGTTATTGCCTGGAGACATCAGAGGGCTCAGCCCTATCCATTCCCCAGCCTTCAGCCTTCTCTGGCCCTCAGAGAGCCAGCAGGTATCTCCCTCTGCTGCTCTGAGCCTTCAGACCTCTCCAATTATCTCTGGCCATGCTTAGCTCTTCAGCCTGGAGAAGTTTGTAGGTGACTCTCTGACTGCCTTCCTACCGTCTTTCCCCGAAAGTAAGACATCCCCCGAAAATAAGACCTACTTCCAGTTTTGCCTCTCGCTGTAATATAAGGCATCCCCCCAAAAATAAGACCTCCCCAAAAATATAAGGCCCCGAAGCTACCGTAAGGCGTCTGACTCCTCTGGACTGTAGCGGCGGGCGCCGCCGCGCAGCTCACTGATTGGCCGCAACAATAAATGTGTACCATATTCTTCTTCATGGAAAAATAAGACCTCCCCTGAAAATAAGACCTAGCGCATCTTTGGGAGCAAAAATTAATATAAGACACTGTCTTATTTTCAGGGAAACAGGGTAGCTTCAGCTTTCACCAGCTTGTTGTGGCTCCACTGCTCAACCCGGGACTTCTCACCACCCCGTCCTTCAGTGGGACCCCTTCCTGAAACTCTCAGTTCAGCTCTGCTCTTCCTCTGAGCTCTCTTTATTATCAGTGCTGGTCGGCTCGCCCTTTCCAAGCTCTCCCTATAAGCTCTCTTTGACGACTCTGGAGTTCTGAACTGCCCTTTCTGAACTCCCAACCCTGCTCATTACACCAAACTAGGGTACACCTGGACTGGAAAAGGAGTGCTGAGCCCAATTTTATTTAAAGGGCCAGCTACTATGTTACAGTCACAGAGGATTTCTGTCCTTTGTCAGAAAGAGATATATTTAGTGCTGTAATAGGGTAAGTTTGGTTTCCATGTTGATCTTAATTGGCTCTGCAAAGGTGGAAATGGATCCAAAAAAACCAGGAAGAAGGCAGCTTTTACAGCAGGATAAAGGCTCTGGCAATTTCAAGTAATGTCCTTTAGATTATGCAGTGCTCTTGGAACCTTTAAGCGGCTCATGGAGAATGTACTCTGTGGCATGCACCTCTTTCAGACTGTTTGTCATACATGGATAACAAATCTGGTACATGCTAAATCTTTTGGTCAGGAACTGGTGCATTTATAAATGGTCTGCGATAAGGTTAAGAATGACAATTTGAAACTGAATCCAAAGAAATGTGAGCTGTTTTAAAAAGAGATAATTTTCCCTTGGTCATTTGATCAGCGAGGAAGGAATTTCCACTGATAAAGTGAAGGAGTGCAGAACTGGCTGGCTTTTTAGCTCTACACAGCTTTTTAGGACTCTGCTGTTCCTATTACCCCAGGTTCATTTTCTGGGTTGCCAATAGAGGAAAAGCTATTGCATACAGTGAGTAAGAGAAATGCCTGGAGTATCACCACAGTGTACTTCGGCATTTACAGAGTTAAAACAGGCACTTAGGACTGTTTCAGTGTTGCCTTACTCTTGCCTGAGAAATTTTCATATTAAACACAGATGCAAGTGCTCACAGAATGAGAACACTTCAGGCCCAGAAGGCTGCAGAAATTATAGGCATATGAAGATGCTTTCTCTTGCTGCTCCTGTTGAAGGGCTAGTTGGAAATATTACTCTGAAGAAGAGAACAAGAAATGAATATCAAGTATCAGGGGGTAGCCGTGTTAGTCTGTATCTACAAAAAACAGCAAGGAGTCTGGTGGCACCTTAAAGACTAACAGATTTATTTGGGCATAAGCTTTTGTGGGTAAAAACCTCTCTTGTTGCATCTGAAGAAGTGAGGTTTTTACCCACGAAAGCTTATGCCCAAATAAATCTGTTAGTCTTTAAGGTGCCACAAGAAATGAATAGCACCCCTGCAGCGCCCTGGGTGTTGCAGCTGTGTAAGTGTTCTTGAGTCAGCTGCTGAAACAACAGAAGCGGCAATGGAGACGTGGACTGCAAAGCAGTTAAAAACCTCACCGGTAAAGGATCCCAATGTTAAAATAGGTCATGAAT